TGCCTGCAGGCGTCGAGCCAAAAGAAGACGTGGGAAGAGAGCTCGGACGCCTGCAAGCGGATGACCTCGCAGCTGCTCGTCCTGAAGCCCTGGTCGGCGAGAGCGCTGTGGGAGGCCGTCGGCGACGCGTACGGCGAGGTGAGGGAAGCGGGGTGCAAAGCGCCTCTCGCGGGAGCGCTCTCGGTGCCGCCCCGCCCATCCCCTCTTTCCTTCCTCCTGGAGCAGCGGCGGGGCCCGCGAGGTGTCTCCCCCGGGGCTGAAGAACCCCCGGAACGGAGCCTGCCCTCGCTTTCGCGGGAGAGGCGTGAAGGCAGCCGGGCTCCAGCTGGCTCCGTGCCGGCTCTGCCAACCCTCCTCTGGAGGCTGGGGGCTCAAGCCACACGCTCTAAAGGGAAAGACACTTGGGAGGGGATGTCCCTCTCGTTAAATCCCGCTCCACTGGTACAGCCCACCCGCCACCCACCCCCAGTCTCAATGGGGGCGGCACTGACCTGTGCTTGAAATGCGTCAGAGAGAACTTTGCCTTTCGAAACGCTCCAGAATCGCTGGGACATGTTCTGGGTCGGACTTCGGTGTGAGGGTCGGAACTGCAAGTGGGTGGACGACTCCCCCTACCGAGGGTGAGTGAGTGAGTGACAGCTTTGGGGAGCTGGGTGGAGTGGGGAGAGGAGGCCTGTCCTGGGGAAGGGGGCAGGAGCTCTGCGTCACCCAGGGGTGCTTCCGGGCTCTCCCTCGGGGTCTCCTGCCAGGCAGCACCCAGAGCTGCTTGTCTCCCCTGCTGAAAGCGGCTGGAGGTGAAGGATGAGAGGAGGGATGAGACCCAGATGGGGTGGGGGGCAACTTCTTCTCCTTGGCTGTGTGAAGATTTTGACTTTGGGGTTTCTTCATAACTATCTTTTAAACGTTCCAGAAGTGAAATCTCGTGGACCAGTTATCAGTATTATCCATTTGTATCCATGCGCAATGGACATCTGCAGAGGGTATGGTCTTCGACAAGGGCTAAGTACATCTGCGAGAAGGCAGCCAGTCCTGAGCCCCCCCCCGAACTGAGAGATGGGTATGCAACTCTCTTTATGGAATCATGTTAGGAAGGCACAAAACGTCCCACGCAGCACTGGGGGAGGGGGGAAGTGTTCCTGGACCAAAGCCTGCAGGAGACATCCCTGCGCCCTCCCCGCCCCAGCATGATGAGTGTTCTGCCAGAGGGTTCCCATGAGGAAAAGGTGGGCTGGTGGCATGCAGTGGGAGAAAGGTGGGGTGGAGGGGTGGGGG